ATTTGCAGTATCGAAATTATTGAGCGGAGTGAAGCGAAGCTCTTATACTACACTCACTGCCTTTGTTTTACAAATACAGGTCAGGCTCCACCTGACAGGCTTAAGCGATCTGCAGGAAATTTGGCACAGTCATGTAACCAACCATATGGGAAGGTATAAATCTGAAATGGTAATATTCGGACCACAGGACTTAAACCAATAATAAGGGTTGCCGGAATTAGGCTGATGCACCATATTGCGTTTGGAATCTGTAAATAACTTACAGCATTTTATGTGAGCAAGACGTGCAATTAATGTAGACTTTGAATATCTATCTGATTGGAACATGTTCAATTCCTATTTGCAGTCTACAAATAGGAATTCCACTAATGTGAACCAAATATAACACAATTCGTTGACTTGAACCCGACGTATCATTGACTTTGAATACTGCACATAGACATCCCATATAAGTGAAGCAGAAGTAGGCCTAAGCCTACCATTGACTTCGGATACTGCAATTAGGCATTTTATTTATGTGAACAAAATAAATGGACCATTGATTTATTGAGGATACTGCAAGTAGACTATTCATTTACATGTACCATTGGGTTTGGATACTACAAGTAAACAATCCGTCTACGTGAACCATACGTACTATTGACTTAAGAATCTGTAAATAGGCATTCCATTTATGCGAACCAAATATATCATTGGCATTGGATACTGCAAGTAGACATTTAATTTATGAGAACCAGATGAAACATAGAATACGGTTCCTGCAAGTAGACGATTCATTCACTTAATCCTGACTTATGATTGACTTTGGATACCTCTGCAAATAGGCATTCTATTTAAAATGCAAAAAAATCATTGATATTAAATATGCTGGCTCCGCTCAATATTGCAAGCAGACAACTGCATTGTACACCTAGTATTTTATGAACCCAGTTTTCAGCGTACACACACTAAGTTCAAGACCTGCAGCACTCATATGGTATAGCTATCCACAGTTATTTTAGGTATTAGGCTTTTCTTTTCTCACAAGACAGGTGAAAACATTTAACCTGCATTGTGGTTATTGAACACATCAGATGGTTATTTTAGTAGAACGGCTATTGACTAAGTGCAGTACAGTATATGGATAGTAATATATGGATTAGTAACACTTTTCTAATACTGTAGGAGAAAAGGTTCATCAGAAGTGGAGTAACTTAATTTAGGGTGTGATTGTGATGTGTCAAAACCGACCCTGTAATCTCACCAACAAAACTTTAGAATGGTTTTGTTTTTTGAGATTTTGATTGAGAGAGTTTCAAGATTTAAAACTAAGTATTAATTTAAAATTAACCTAAGTCTTGATCTCATATTCATGTTATTCTGTTATTTACAGTATAGTGAAATACCAAACAAAAAGATGTGCAAATAATGCTAGTGCACATATGCGCCCTGGCATGTTCAGTTTTGTGAGCACATTTTCCTAGTGCTGGGAAGGGTGATATCGATATCGGTTTGTCATATCAAAGTCTTTGTTTAGGCCTATAGAAAATTACACTCCTTAGGTTTTAGTATTAGCCATGGTACCGGTAATTGGTATTCATGTTCTAATACTATATGGTATTCTTCCTAATACTAAAACAATCCCACTTCTTTCAGTTTTGATTGCAAAAAACATTTTTTATTAAGTGTACTCTTTTGTTCTTTACCAGGCAAAAATACGTAAGTTTTTCATTCTTAAGTTTTGAGATTCGGCATTTGATTGTTGTAAATTTCAGTATTGAGATTTTAGGCTTAGTTTACATAGGATAACTCCGTTTGTTGATAGTATTTGTTATTTACAGGTCAGAACTACATTCAAAAATGTCGGGTACCAGGATCCGAGCATGGAATGGAAAGATATCACAGAGAGAGCTGCACAAACATTGTTCTGGACCGAGCTGGCTCGTGGGTTTGCCGTCACACTAGGACATATGTTCAAAGAACCGGCGACCATCAACTATCCGTTTGAAAAGGGGCCACTCAGTCCACGATTCAGAGGTGAACACGCATTAAGGAGGTATCCATCAGGCGAGGAACGCTGCATCGCTTGTAAACTGTGCGAAGCCATCTGTCCGGCACAGGCTATCACCATTGAGGCGGAAGAAAGAGCTGATGGCAGCCGACGAACTACGCGCTACGACATCGACATGACCAAATGTATCTACTGCGGATTTTGCCAGGAAGCTTGCCCTGTAGACGCTATTGTTGAAGGACCTAATTTCGAATTTTCCACAGAGACGCACGAAGAGCTCTTGTACAACAAGGAAAAGCTGTTGAACAACGGTGATAAATGGGAATCGGAAATCGCATCAAACATTCATGCTGATCACCTGTATCGCTGAATCGGTTTGAGTAGTTTTAAGTAGAAAATCTTCACTGTAAAGTTGAATGGCTCAAATAATAGCCAGTGAATGTGAATATTGAAATACGTTGTTATATGAAATGGTAATTATACTTAGTTTTCAAATGACAGGATTAATTAATTGTTTACACCTCAGCCTTGTTTTTTAGTGATAAGAATCAGGTGTTAGCCAAGTAATGGCATATGGGATGTACTTGCTTCAGTTGAGCCATCCTACTTGATATAAAATAACAGCTGCCATGGCAATGGTACACTCCTACAAACTATTGTACCCTATAAAACAAGTTTCAGGTATTGTTTTATAGGTGATGTTTATTTTGTGGATGCATCTTATTTACTTTTAAAGAACTTGTGGGCTTAATTTGCCAAACTTAAAGTTGAAACCAAAATTTAGTATGAGCTAATTGCTGTCAAAAATACATCGATAGCTAACTATATCATGTTTTAGAGTAACATAAGAGGTTGCAGTAAAGGTTGGTAGTTAATCTATAATAAACATCTGCATAATAATATGGAACTTTGACCCTGAGAAGTATCTGAAGTTCTTATGCTTTGAAATTTGGTTCTGTACGATTTGCGTTCTGGATCTCACTCATCTTACTTTTAGTTCAAAACTCATATTATTTCAGTTAAAAAAACCTACTTATTACAACAGCTTTGTTCTCTTAATATTTTATAAGAGCTGCATTGACAACTATGAAATGAAATAAAATAAACCAACTAAGATGGCTTATGTCCACAAAGTAATGACTCAACGACAGTATCTAATTTATAAACGACAAAACGACATGGTATATTTAGGCCAAGGTATAAGTTTATTTAAAAAGATAATTTCAGGCGTCACTCACCTTCATGAAAACAGGAGAACTTAGTCCTTTGTCAAATGTCCCAAAGTTCAAAACACACAAATTAGTCCAGTAAATCTGTCAGAAAATATGGGGTTGCTGTGCAAAAGGTCGGGTAGTTCTGATTTTTGGATATGTTGTTAGTATTGGGCCCATAACATAAAATCCAAGTTATCCACCTCGAGATGCTGCCGCTCGCCGCGGGGCGCGCCACTTGTTATCGAAATATAAAAAATATGGCAATTCCTATTGTTTTTCACTCAATCTCGCGAACCACTCATTTTACCGAAAATTTTATATTATTACATTAAAGAAGAATAAATTTGTGACAGTTTAAGCCCAACAGCAAGTATGTAGCGTAAAAAATGGTCAAAATACAGACCATCAAAATAAATAAACTTCCCAAAGACCGATAAAAATTGTGGTTTTTTCAATATTTCCACAATATAGTTGTTTGAAGCAAACACCGTATTGATTTAGAGAGTATGCCAGTTTATTTGCTATTAATAGAAAATAAATGAAAGTATGAATAAAAATACCCCCACCTCAGCAAACCTGCAGACAAAGCGAATTTCCATTTGCTTGATTTGATTTTCACAAACCTATTTAAATAACATTAGGTTTACTGGTGCCTAGGTTTGCTGCTACAGGGAGGGTAATATAGTATATAAAATAATAATAGTATGATAAGAAACAAATAAATTTACCCAATTTTATAAAAATGTGCCTATAAATAAGGAAAAATCAATAATTAAAAATCTTCGCTATTGGAATAACTTGAGGTTTTTTAATTTACATTTTTTTAATTTTCTCCGTAACCAATAACTGTAAAAAAAACATTTTAATGTAGTAAATTGTTTGTTTTTAAGCTCTACAAAATGGTCTAGAGATACATTGTAAAATTTTATGTTTTAAGGGTCAAAAATACGAAAAACCCGTTCTTAACAAAAAACTCATAAAGCAACCGTTCCCATGGCCTGATCAAATCAAATCAAAATCTGTTTTATTTCCAAAATTTGTTTACAATATATACATATACAAAATACGAACAATAGTCCCGCATAGGCCGTAAAAGACCTGTGCGCAGGACGAGCTCTATTAAAAATCAAATTAGAAATATTCTTAAAAATTAAAACTAAATTAATCAAAATACTATTTACAACTAAGCTATGAGACAGCACAGCTACAGGAACAATGCTAAGTAAAATGTAGTCGAGTGAATGGAGTTGCAGTTACTAATGTCTGCACGCTAGAACTGATAAGTGTCTCAGACTGATTTATTTTGATGGTCTGTATTTTGACCATTATTTACGCTACATACTTGCTGTTGGGCTTAAACTGGCACAAATTTATTCTTCTTTAATGTAATAATATAAAATTTTCGGTAAAATGAGTGGTTCGCGAGATTGAGTGAAAAACAATAGGAATTGCCATATTTTTTATATTTCGATAACAAGTGGCGCGCCCCGCGGCGAGCGGCAGCATCTCGAGGTGGATAACTTGGATTTTATGTTATGGACCCAATACTAACAACATCCAAAAATCAGAACTACCCGACCTTTTGCATACCAAAATGTCTAATTTTACTGGACTAAATGCACATTTGTGATCGCCTAACCACGACTCATGGTGAACCGTGGTGACATTTGACAAAGGATTAAGTTCTGCTGTTTTCATAAAGGTGAGTGAGGCCTGAAATTATTGTTTTTCAAATGTATTTAAATAATCGTTAAGTTCATAGGAAAGAAAATGTGGAGTAGGTTAAGATACGAGTCAACAATTTACTACGCAAGTATAAAATTAACATTACAGTATTTACAGTGTGAAGTACAAAGCAAGTTTACACAAACAATGTTCACAAATGAGACAATGGTACTCTAATGACATAATAAGTAAATATTCATCCATGTAGGATAATGTCAAGATTACATTCAAGCCACAAATTACAAGGCAATTGAGTGTTTAATAAAATAACTCCACAATCTAAAAAGATTGGTGAAATAGGCTCCATGTGTATGCAGAGTAAATACATTATTTGACACATATTTTTAAATACAAACAGGCATTTAAATAAACAGGTAGTTAAATGGTCTTTGGGACAAAGATAAATATTCTGTTGTTTTTTACTAAATAAAACCAGTCAATTATCTTTCTATTTAGGTACTTGATTCCATGTTGTCTTCCATTTCTACAGCAGGTAACTCTGCACTATCTGAGTCGTGTAAACTGCTATCCATTTCTACCTGTAAAATCATCCAAAACTTGATTAAATTATTGCAACAGCGTTTTTAGATCAAGTTAAAAAAACTTAAGGAAAACTCAAGTTAAAAAAACTTAAGGAAAACTCAAGTTAAAAAAACTTAAGGAAAACTAACGTCATTTATTAACATGATAAAAATCTTTAAAAAAAGTCGATGATCTGATCTTCCAATAAACACGTTTGTCAAGGAAAATTGTGTCCAAACTCTACAAAAACTGACGATTGAAATTTAAGTAAAGTAATTCTTTACTGTTACAAAATACTAAAGCAGGATTACAAAATTTACCTGTTTCATATAAATTATTTTCTAAACAATCATCTTAGTGCACTGTAAATAAAATGGAAAACAGTAAACATTTTAGAAACAAAAAAATCTTATTGACCGCTAAATTGGTTTGCATACCAAAATAGTGCCAAAAGTATGGTAAGACATTGGTCTACAAAGAAATATTAAAACGTACCATATTTCCCTACAAAAATGGTTTCCTAGAGAAGATTGTTCTACAAAATGGTAATAACTCTGTTACATTTATGAATGTAACTATAACTAATTATTGGAATGGTATATTTACTCTGATTTTGATCAAATAGGGTCAGTTTTTTTCTCATTCCTCACAATCTACCAATGAAACAAAATTTCAGTTACTTTGAGGAGGGGGGACGACGTTAAAATGCATAATCAATAAATGACTTTTCTGTGATTTCCATCACCAGTAGACAACTCAACATTATTAAACCATTGTAATGTAACGCTACTTAATCAAACTCAGGAAGAACATTGGTTTTATTTCACGGTTAAAAAGCGTTCTGAGGGAGTTGTGTTTGGTCATAAGGTTTGATAGGTCCTCAATAATGAAGATCCAGTCAAAGTGGGCATTTGAAGCTCTAATAATAAAAAAATTCAATACAGACTCAAATCAACTAAATTATGTCACTCGGAAGAAGGCATGTCATATTTTATTCTAGTACATACAAAAAAATTGGTTGTTTAGTAACCTTTTTTGTGTCTTGTTAGCCCCTGGACTCAACAATTTTCTATTTCTTTAAAAAGCTAGCTGATCTATATACTTTTTAAAACGTTCTCAATCACCTATTTAGCTTTAATTTATAATATATGTTGAAGTATTATGTATCCTACCTCATTGTCTGGTTTCTTCCCAGCGTTGCGTTTGTGAGAGTGACTACACTGAGCCACCCAGTTGTCGAGGTTGTCGTAATCTGCTGGTTTTAGGTCCATATATCCTTGGGGTACCACCATTCCCAGCCTGAGTAGTTGAAATAAAACAAATTAAGTTACGTAGCATAGTTTACTACTTACACACAATAACTCAGGGGAACTAGTAGAATACCAACAGAATAGGAGAAAAAAAATAAATAAAAGTTTTCTTTGCATGTAAAAAGCTGTTAAGCTAGGGAATTCTCTCACGTTAAGAAAAAAAAATACCAGACCCGTACAGCTTTATGATAGAGAAATCCGAATCATGATCAGGAGGGAAGGTATGAAAGTCCTAGTTTTTGAAAACAAGGTTCTTAGAAAGATTTTTGAACTACGAATGTGCAATTTGAAAGAGTTTAGGAGTGGGTTCGTGTAGAGTGTAGACATTATGATCCTCTCCTGCGATTACAGCCGAATATTACACTTCTCTCGTGGTCGTGGACACATCATCATCATCTTAACTATCACGGTTAAATCCTATGATTTTACACATCTCTCCTGATTGTTAAGACATCATCATGCATCGATCGCGATAGTAAAAGTTCGGCTTAAAAATCAAACCACTTGCACGTCTCTAGAATGCAATGTATCTACTATAAAAAAAAACTACATAACTGCAATAGTTAAACAGGTACCGTATCTTGAATAAAGGCACTACTTCTTCATTATTTAACGGTGCATTCCATCCATGGAATAAAGTTACGGCTTAACTACTGTAATCTAAACTGTAACCCGCTTTTCTTCATCATTAAGCGTTTAACAAATGGTCCTGGCTAAGAATCAGCTGATCTCATTGAGTAACAAAACTATCATATATTTCATTTAACACTTCTTATAGTAAATGTAATCTCCTATCACCTCTCTGGAAGCATGTAAGGCTTGAGCCATCCAACAAGCGGAGTTTGTCCTGACACGTACGGAGCACAGTTGTGATAAAACAAGACACCGTCTACCTGCAAATAAATAGGAGAGGATTGTGAGTAAATACTAGTTTTATAGTAATTTAACACAATTTAAACAGTAATGAATCATAGATTGAATATCGATTGATTTGAAACAAGAAATCAACAATTACTGGTACTGTTCAATGAGAAGACTCCGATTTAGTGTTTAACTGAGTGAGAAAAAAAGTGATTAAAAAATAAAAAGCGACTTATTTACGGTCTTCATGGACTGGAGACCTTAATACTACTACTCACCTTATGAATAAGTCAAATATTTATTCTACTTTCTAAAGCATGTAGTGTAACTCTCAATACGTTTTGAACACAATACTGTTATTATCGCTGGTATGCCTACCTCGTTTGGTTGGTGTTGGGCCAATGTTGCTGGTAGGGTGTACGGAACACAGTGTGAAGGCAGAAACACATTGTAGATGTCGGAACCCAAACTTTCCTTGGCAAAACCCTGCGTCACCTCGGCCAGCTTGCAGTTTAACCAATACAGCCGAAACTGAGCCTGTAAAAAGTTGTTCATTTGTAATAAAAAGGTGTTGTGTTATAGCTATTTTTAAGTCTTAACAAAATGGTACAACCCTCATTGCTGTAAAAACTGCAGTTCAAAGTTAGGCTACCTATTATGTTTTACACACTGTTGTGTGTATATACAGGGTGGTAAAAAAGTCCCAGGACAGTTAAATATTTTAAAAAATAATGCAGATAGAGCTACAATACTTGGTACAAAGTTACAGGGCATAAAACTCTATTTTAACACATATTCAGTGATCCAATAACTCTTCAGGGGGACGGCCCACAAGGAGTCGGAAGAATATCTTAAATAGAAGCACAGGTCAATATACACATCAAATTAAAGGTCTTTTTTAGTAGAATATAATGCCGCAAACCGCACTTTAAAAGGTTGATCCTGCGCAAAATGATCAACCTAAGGTTGACATCTGCCATTTTGCGCAGGATCAACCTTTTGAAGTGTGGCTTGCCGGCTTGCGGCATTGTATTCTACTAAAAAAGACCTTTAATCTGATGTGCATATTGACCTATGCTTCCATTTAAGATTTTCTTCCGACTCCTTGTGGGCCGTTCCCCTGAAGAGTTATTGGATCACTGAATATGTGTTGAAATAGAGTTTTATGCCCTGTAACTTTGTACCAAGTATTGTAGCTCTATCTACAATATTTTTTTAAATATTTAACCGTCCTGGGACTTTTTTACCACCCTGTATACTTTATGTGGTATTTGAATCGTCTGCACTCTTTCATCGGGTGAGTTAGCAGACTCCTCCCCATCCTATATATTTCTTTATAGCCCAGTCAACAAAGCTCAAAATATGTCCCTCAGCGGGAAAAAATGGTGTAGTCCCGGATTTTTGCACAGTTGTAGGGGATACCCTCCTGAACAACATACTAAAAGTCCTGTCTGATGGGGTGTGAGCTATGGGGGAGAGGGGGGTTTAAATGCACAATTTTTCAGTTTTCTGTAAATATCTCGAAAACGGTGCCCTCTAGCGGTAAAATGTACTATACAAAAATGAAGAGCATTAAATTTCCAACAATAATGTTCATTACATCGTGTTCCTAAAATCAACACTTAACGAGATACATGGGTCATAAGAAAAAAAACATTCAGAGTAACTAGTGTTATTGTGGTAAAGTGATTGTTTTATACTAGGTACACCAAGTTATATAAACTGATAAAAATGTGCTAAATACTCGTCTATGCAGTACAGCTGTTGAAAAAATTGAGGGGAGAGGAAGTCGGGCAGGACTGGAAGCTGAGAGTCCAAACAGTGGTAACCATAATAACATACTGTAATATAAAAACTAAAATAAACTTGCAGAAAATTTTATTACACTTGTCTACTAACCCAGTAACCTAACACATTTTACCTTGCATGAAATGGGGTAGTACGTTTCTTTTTTTTTAGTTGTTTGTAATAGTACCGAGATGCTAAATCCAAATTTTCGACCTCGGCGACCTTCCGGATCACCTCCAAAAACCCTAAAAATCGGCGGAATTTCGCACTATTTATACGTTTGTCCGATTTTGACCCTGAAGCATAACTTTTTCATAAAAAACTACCATAATCATTTTTAAAGTACATTAGATTACCTATAATTTAAGACCAAAATGGTTAATACCATTTATCATCATGTGTTAATACCATTTATGGTATACCATTGGCTAGTACCATTTAGGTGTATTGTGCTAATAGTTTTCAAGATATGGTACAGCAAATAATAAATAAAATTACCAAATGTTGAACTTTCTTAAGTTTGGCTAACGTTAACCCTTAAGCATAACTTTCTCATTATTCTTCATCAAAACAACCATAATTACTTTAAAACTTCAATAAATTGCCCACAATTTAAGACCAGAATGGTGATTATAGGCCTCACACATTGAGAGTATATAGCCTCTTCAAGGTTCATAAAATCTTCTATAAATGCTTGTATTTCAAGTTTCAAGCTATTCAATTTGGTAAAATTTTATAAAAGAACCATAATAAGAATATAAACAAATTTATTTCATTTCAACAACAGATTGTAAGTTTTATTTAAAAATATTTCTTATGGAAGAAATCTGTCGTTATTAAAATGTTCATACTATCAAGAGGAATTGATAGAAAGAATGAAGAGGCAAAAATGAAAACAAGTTTTTTGAAAGAGTTTTTGCTGTCGTTCTGCCATGCTACATATTACTTCTTTTATACCAAGTGTTCGCATCTGTGCCTGCAGGATATGTTGAAATAAGGAAACAAGATGGATCTCAATAAACAGACTATAGAGGACTATAGAGCAGGTGCTCATTTGCTTAATGAAAAGCTATGTAGGTTTGACTCGGGACCGTAACTGACACCGTGCTCACCCGATGTACGCTAGGAATGATATAATTTATTTGTAGAATATAAGTGCTGAGGTTGAGGAGTAGGCCTACTACAATGTTAAGACACATACAACTGAACAGCATGTGGAAATAAGACCCTCACGAGTCACTCGATTTGAAGCGGATACAGAGAAGCTGTGTGACTGGTTACTTTGTCACTCTCCATTCCCTAATACTGATGTTATAATGTTCTCAAGCAGTGGAATTGTTGGAGGGAAACTGTCAACTGTCATATGGCTAGAGATATTGGCAAGGAAGCGATGTTGAGAGTTTTATGAGGAAAATATGAATAAGTCAGATACAAAAGGAAGAATTAAGTAGTATCTCTTTCTTCTGAAGTTAATACTGTGACTGTTGGCAATATAAAGGTGACTATTGACCCCTCACACTGTTTCACAGGCCATGCGTTCTGAAGCAGTCGGATGAGGAACTAAAGCACTTCTTTACGCATGGATTTTCACCATTACCTCAATCTCAATCGTCACAATTGATGAATGAAAACTAAATTATAGTTCAAACATCCAAACGTCTCAAGTTAGTCAGACAAGTCAATCTTCAACTGATACCCCCCACAGGACGAGTCCATGTACAAAGGTACAAGGGTCATCTAATCACAGACGCCGTCACTCTCGGTGTTCTCCAACCGGCTCCCGCGACAATGCAATTAAATAAATACCTTTCGTCATAGGCCTGTGTTCTATCCACGAGAACCATTTATTGGAACAATGTACGTGTGTGTGTAGATAGATATGATAGATTGGTTTCTAAATAATTTTTTTAAAATAAAAGTTACAATCTGTTGTTGAAATGAAATAAATTTGTTTATTTCTTTATATGGTTCTTTTATAAAATTTGACCTAATTGAATCGCTTGAAACTTAAAATACAAGCATTTAGTAAAGAAGATTTTATGAAACTTGAAGAGGCATATCTCTCAATGTGTTTGGCCTATAATCACCATTCTGGTCTTAAATTGTGGGTAATTTAATGTAGTTTTAAAGTAATTATGGTTGTTTTAATGAAGAATAATGAGAAAGTTATGCTTAAGGGTTAACGTTAGCCAAACTTAAAAAAGTTCAAAATTTGGTAATTGTTATTATTTGTTGAGTCATATCTTGAAAACTGTATTAACCATTTTGGTCTTAAATGATAGGCAATCTAATGTACTTTAAAAATGATTATGGTAGTTTTTTATGAAAAAGTGATGCTTTAGGGTCAAAATCAGACAAACGTAAAAATAGTGCGAAATTCCGCCGATTTTTAGGGTTTTTGGAGGTGATCCGGAAGGTTGCCGAGGTCGAAAATTTGGATTTAGCATCTCGGTACTATTACAAACAACTAAAAAAAAAGAAACCTACTACCCCATTTCATGCAAGGTAAAATGTGTTAGGTTACTGGGTTAATAGACAAGTGTAATAAAATTTTCTGCAAGTTTATTTTAGTTTTTATATTACAGTATGTTATTATGGTTACCACTGTTTGGACTCTCAGCTTCCAGTCCGGCCCGACTTCCTCTCCCCTCAATTTTTTCAACAGCTGTACTGCATAGACGAGTATTTAGCACATTTTTATCAGTTTATATAACTTGATGTACCTAGTATAAAACAATCACTTTACCACCTGAATGTTTTTTTTATTATGACCCATGTATCTCGTTAAGTGTTGATTTTAGGAACACGATGTAATGAACATTATTGTTGGAAATTTAATGCTCTTCATTTTTGTATAGTACATTTTACCGCTAGAGGGCACTGTTTTCGAGATATTTACAGAAAACCGAAAAATTGTGCATTTACACCCCCCTCCCCACCATAGCTCACACCCCATCAGTCAGGACTTTTAGTATGTTGTTCAGGAGGGTATCCCCTACAACTGTGCAAAAATCCGGGACTACACCATTTTTTCCCACTCATTCAGCTTCGTTGACTTGACTATTAGTTCAAGTTCAAAGTAATTACAATTTTTGTGATTTTACCCAAAAAAATATCATGGTAGTTACTTCCACTGCTTACCCACCACTGTATGAGGGGTTTTGACAAGCTTAAGGGAGAAAGTATGTGTCAGTTTGCTGACACTGTTTATTTTCCATATTTTTTTTTTCCTTTCCTAGTTGTGTAAAATTTTCAGACTAGCCTATAGTCCATGTTGCCCATGGAGAGGTTAAGATCAATTTAATGCTGTCCATAGGTTCAATTTGATTGATTAGTTGTTAATCGAGAATTTAAACATGACCTTTTTTAATTTCACATTGACCAAAGTGTGGTACTTGAACCACTAGACGAAATGTGCCTTTTATTTCAAGAGTTGAATTATCGTTTTAAACCAAAGTTTTGAAAATAGGCCTATATACTGTTAGAAACATACCAATATCGTAGAAATGTAAAATTCTTGAACTAATACAGTGAAGGCGCACCTTTTAAATGTTTATAACTATACTTTAAGACTGAGTTTAAAAATATTCCGTCAATAACTTTGTATAGGCCTGTTGGCAGCAAAACAAAATTATGCCACATTGATTGAATTTTTAAACCAAAGTTTAAAATAGTTTTGTCAAATTTACTTCCTGATTGTAGGGTGTTGATGCAGCTATTATTCGATTCGATGCAACCAAAAGAATTTAGATTCAAATCAATGCAGCATTGCATGATTTTCTTTCAAAATTATTTACAACTTGCGTTACTGAAATGGATTATTTAGGCTACCCTAAAAAAAGATTAAAATGAAAAAAAAAAAATTACAAGATAAAATTTGTTGTGAACAAGGGAATGGTTCCTAACCTAACCCCCTGCTGATGGGACACTGCTGATTTGATGGTTAGTCTAAAAAAAACCATCAGTTTTTCCGATGCATCGGGACCAAATCAATGCACAGACTAAATCGATGCATCTGAATTTCGATGCATGCTGAATGAAATAGAAATTTCGATATATTGTACCAGTATGAATGTGCAACCAAAGAATGCTGGAAGATAAGTTTAAAAAATTGTAAAATAAGACAACTTACATCACAGTCCAAAAGAGTCTGGTTCCTCCAATGCAGTACATCCAACGCAAACAAGCGCATGGACGACTCATTCCAGATACAGTCTAAAATTATTAAATCTGAATTTTTTGTTCTGTTGGTCGGAGCTCCGTTTGGTAAAACAGATTTAAATTTGGCAAGTAGGAAACCGCTTTTGTGGTACGCTCTAGTGCAGCCCTGGAAACAAACAATAGTTCAGCATACTTATTAGAAAACAATTTTTTTCAAATTGAGTGAGATTTTGCTAATGATGCGATGAGGATAAGAATAGCACTTAATCTTAATATCATATTGTTTCATGAACGAGACGTAATTTCAAGCAACCATGATTACGCTAAAAATCGTTACCGTAACCTGTAATATTTTAAAATAGTGCCGACGTTAAAGAGCTTTTAATTAATTAAAAATTAAATAAATAATGAGTTGTTTTAGGCCTACTTTAGCACAAAGTAAAACAACTATTAGTTATTAGGCTACTAATAAACCAGCCGATTATTTAGGCTACAGTAAAACTTTTAACGATTCAGTTTCACAACGTTGTATCCTGAATTTTATATTAATATAGCCAGCCTAAATATACAGGGTGAATTTTAAATGAGTTCCCCCCTACTTTTTTCTACATTTCTTAAGATATCATCTCCGGACCACGTCAGATCATTGTTGAGTAGGAAGTACTTCATTTTGACTGGGTATACATTTTTGGCCGCCATCTTGGATCCGCCATATTGGATACAAAGTTTTTTTTTCAAATGTAAAGGTAGAGTTGTGACCCATTATTTCAGACTAGAATTTTACGCTGATTACAATGCCGCAATTAGTTTTTAAAAATCTTGATTCGTTCTAAAGTTATGAGGACATTTTATAACTTTATTTTTAGCCCATTTTAACATTGTGCATCAACAAACTAAGACCATAATCTCAAAATAGTGCTAGATAAAGATATACACCACCACTCATTGTCGACATATTTTCACTTGGTTATGACGGATTTATTTTTTTCAGCCGCCATCTTGGATCCGCCATTTTGAAATGTGATCAATTAATTTAAATATGAAGGTGGTGTTGTGACCCATCATTTTGAACTACTTTTTTATACCGGACTCAATGCCGCAATCCGTTTTTGGTTATCAAGCTTTCTTGATGAAATATTAAAATACTATTATTTAAAATTTCAATATTTTTCCAAATCCAAAGATGCAAATGAAAAACGGATTGCGGCATTGAGTTCAGCATAAAAAAGTAACTCAAAATGATGGGTCACAACACCACCTTCATATTTAAATTAATTGATTACATTTCAAAATGGCGGATCCAAGATGGCGGCTGAAAAAACTACATCCGTCATAACCAAGTGAAAATATGTCGACAATGAATGGTGGTGTATACTTATCTTTATCTAGCACTATTTTGAGATTATGGTCTTAGTTTGTTGATGCACAATGTTAAATTGGGCTAAAAATAAAGTTATAAAAAGTCCTCATAACTTTAGAACGAATCAAGATTTTTAAAAACTAATTGCGGCATTGTAATCAGCGTAAAATTCTAGTCTGAAATAATGGGTCACAACCCTACCTTTACATTTGAAAAAAAACTTTGTATCCAATATGGCGGATCCAAGATGGCGGCCAAAAATGTATACCCAGTCAAAATGAAGTATTTCCTACTCAACAATGATCTGACGTGGTCCGGAGATGATATCTTAAGAAATGTAGAAAAAAGTAGGGGGGGAACTCATTTAAAATTCACCCTGTATGAGCTAAATAAGTATTATATGATATATAAGTTAATAAGTTACATATAGGCTTATAATAAGTACCTAAGCCTACATATAGGCTAATGATAAATGATTTTATTAGCCATTCGGTACAAATAATACAATAGACATTGTCATTCTTCTGTCATTCCTTATATTCTTAGGCTGTCATCCTAATATACTTGAATACTATATTTAGACTGTATACAATCGTTTATGGATTAAACAATTAAAATCGAACACAAACTTTACTTTCGTTAACTACCTTTTTAGCAATGACCAATGTTCGTTGACCCTCCGGGCACAACACTGCCGTCCAATTTGTTTCTAAGTCACTTGGAGTTTCCGTTAGCCACATAGACAACATCAGCTGATTCTTGCAATGCTGATTCATCCACCGTTTACTTTGCTTCTGCTTCTTGCTCTGAAATTAAGTTTTAACAGCCTTTACATCAGTCCTAGCCTGCCTAAGTAGGCACAAAATAACATGAAAAAAATTACAGTTCAAATAACCTATTTGAAATCAAGATCATGATGCAACTAGCGTCAAAACCAACTTGATGTTGGAACTTTTGGATTGGGTTGACACATTATCTGCGAGCTACTATTTATTGTTTTAATGTTCAGGCACAACAAACATAAAAACAATTTTTTATGTGTTATCTAAGCCAATGGCATTTTTACGTTTTGAAAGGGAACGGTCCAAACCCTGGTCTTGTTATTATTTAACGTCCATCTTTTTTTTAGAGCATAATTTTTTCACAGCCCGATGACAAATGACATCTGGGTCTTGAAACAATCTCACTTGGAATTGAAGCTTCAGATTTGAAGGTGAGCACTTTAACCACTCGGCTACCCAGACAATAAAATGTAAGTTAGCAGAGAACTCACCTCTACAACATTCATCATCTTTACTAAGAAGAACTAAGTAGGTACTGAGCCTACTTGTTACTTCTGTAGGTATTTTCAAACAGGCTTAGCTTATTGTCTAAATAATTTAGAAAATCAAACGTTACCTCTTTCCAATCCACCCAGTCTTCATTATCATCAAATTCCTCATCAAAAAGTCCTCGTTTTTCATCAACTAGCTTTGCTCTTGCACTGGAAATAAAGTTCAGTAAGTTAATAAAACAATTTATACTAAACAACACCCTTAATCTTAAAATAGCTGCCTATTTGAATACTGCATCGGTGAGGGACAAAGTCAGAAAAGATTGTGTCAAATAATAATTAAGTCAAGTTATACAATACTTGCAAAACAGAGTAGGCCTAACGCAATGCTAACTTGGGAATCAATGTGGACTCAACTGACCAGCTTAAGTTAGGTAACTTAAGTTATCACAAAACAGTCAAATTCAGGAGAAACCAAAACAAAAAAATCCTGCTTGTTTGATAAATAATTAGGCCCTAGTCCTGTTTTACCCCGCTTTAATTTGAAGAAATAGACCTAACTTATCCTGTTTTATCTCGAATCAATTAAAAAAATCTCATTCTAAGTTATTTTCAGAAATATCTAGATTTCATCCCAATGTCATGAATGTCAATGACGTTAAATGGATCGTAAAAGATTTACAATCTTACCGTAACTTACTTTGCTAAAATAACGGTTAGCCTACAAATCTGAACTTTCTGGACTTTTCTTTTAAACGTTCCTAAACCATTCATACGATTCTAATAAACAATAAAATACCTTTAACTTAAAACATTTTTTTGAGGCGTGGAAACCACTGCAAATTGTGAAAATATACGCAACTGCTTTTCAAGGTGCGGAGAAAATCGTAACCTAACCAACCAAACGATATATCGAATGAAATAATCGATGTATCAATCGGTTTTTCATTCGGTTGTTTTTGACAACAGATACGGAAGTATAGGCCTACCGTACCCAAACTGTATGCAAACTGATAGCATAGCATTATTAAGTTATCGGTCGCTTTAGTGTTTTTTTTATGATATGTGGCTGTAATAATAAAACTAGTAAGACTTATGACTAACTTAATTCTTTGTGTTAGGCATAGCTGGACAAAGCTTAGGCCTAACTAAACAAATGGTTAAGTTAATCTATTTAACAACTCATGGAAATTTATGGTAATGTTATCAAAGGTTCTGTAACTTACCGTTTCCAGTGTTCTAATAACTGCTTGATTTGTTTCTCTCTTATAGAACTCTCTGGTCGAGATTTATATTGAGCCTTTCTGTTGTTTGCAGCATCATCGCTAAGACAAGAGTTTTGGATGAATTCTTGTAAACTCTCCATGGCACTTGGGTTTGGGTACTTATATCTTGCAGTATTAAAATAAATGTTCAAGAAACATTAACGTTTATCTATATATTGTAATACTTAAAGGATAAGCAACTTTAATCACTGTTGTAAGTAGGAGGGCGGTGGTACGGTAAGTTAATATTTACCAACCCACCAAGGTTATATTCAGTTCATGTTGTTAGCCGTTCGTTTAGCGTTCGTTAGGTTTGTTTCTACTTCCTGCGGTCTGCGGAGTCGATGTTCTTCTTTTTCATTGGTAAAAATGTTAAGTTAATGTCTTAAGCATGCAACTACATTGCAAACGTATTAACTATGTTACATTATTTTTTATTCCCTGTAATAATTACCCACTGAGCTGGATATTAGCATAGATAAAACCAAAACATACTCCCTTAGTAGATTTCTCATCCTTATGGAACAGCTGAAGACAATTTTATTGTTAGTTCTGTACGGTTTATGTAGAGGTCGTGTTTTGTTTACAATTTGTTTCCCGTTATTACAGCCATTTAAAACCTCGTTCAACCAAATAATACGATCTAATCATAAACAATAACCTGTCCCCTAGTTATATAACCAAACAGTAAAGCACAAATCAAGAAATTAACCCTAAAATAATAGAAACAAAGTTTCGTCGACACTAGCGCCCATGTGTCACGTACATGAACTAGACACGAAAAACGTGCTTCAAAATTTACAATGGGATGAGAAGTCTACTTGTGTTGGTTAGTCTATTATATTAGCTTGGACTCAGTGCAATTAAATTACTGCGGTAGCAACAAAATAGTTTAAGTCCAGTGTTTTCTCTGCAATACTGCAATGAATAATCCATAAGCATTTATTATTAACTAGTTTAATGTTCTAATGGCCCGGCCAATAGAAGCTATGAGAACAGTGAGTCCAAAAATAATCAATCATGGAATCTCAGAAAACAAACTAAGGCCCGGTACACTTCGATGCTCCCGCGGGCCATGACTGAAATAATCTAGGACGACCCGACCCTCTACAGTAGTTGCACATAGTTTCTCTGAGAGGATACGTTCTACATTGTACTTCTATGCAGCGTCGCATTTAAGGCCGGGATTGTAGACCGGGAGCGATGTGCCATGCGATTGGAATACTTTTGTGCGGACCAAAATCAGTCGTCTGGCAGGTCGCTCTAAGTAAGTGTACGAAAGGGCTGTATATGTATATACAGTATATAGTATTATTGACTCAAAAATTGGGACAGAAATCACAGCGGACTCCAATTTATCAATTATCAATCATTAAGATGGGGACGCCACTTAGGTGCGTATTTTAACATAAAATATGAGTGAAGGATGAGTGTAGAATGGTGTGAGAAAAGCCCAATGATCAGGAACAGCTGGGTCCAGTTTTGAACCATCAAAAAGCTACTTACTTACGATTATAACCGAATCACTCACACAAAATGCAGAGAGAGCATTTACTAGCCATCTCGATCAGCAGTCACAACAAAGCCTTCTATGTCATCGACCAACAACCAAGAAATAAGGTGTCACGTACAGTGGCACGAGTGGTGACTTGTAGTTTCGTTGCGCTCGTATGCCCCTAGAGCAACTTCATTGAGCGGAGCGAAGCTCTTATACTACACTCCTGCTTTTGTTTAATAATACTCCTCCTGAACGGCTGAAGCGATGATCTGCACCAAATTTAGCACAATCATAGTGACCGACCATGGGAAGGTATAAATCTGAAATGGTAAATCGGACAACAGGGCTTTTCCCTACGTGAATTCAAACTTTTGGAAATTTAACATGGGCCTTATGGGTTAATTGGTTGCTATGACTGCTATGACATTATTTGCGAAATAACAAGAAAAAGGTAAACATGAGTCGCAACATATGATAGTCAACGAATCATCTAAATGGCACATTACAAATACCGTGCAGAAAAAAAGGGAAGGACAATCAGATTATCATTGAGCATAATTTACTACAAAATGAATAACCAATTTATGGTCAGTGGAATAAGGCTGATGCACCATTGACTTTAAATAATCAAAATAGCCATTCCATTTATCTGAACCAAATCTAGGCATACAGTTGAGTATACTTTCCATTAATGTGAATTAGTGAACTAGACGTACAATTCAATAATGTAGACTTTGAATAGGTACTGAAATTAGGAATTCCATTAATAGAACTAGAGGACCCATGCTGCTCCTCAACGTTAAAATAAATCCGAGAAATATTCAAATTTATGATTTTTGATTGAGTAATACAGTATCTTGAGCTTAACTGATTTAAAGGATCAATAGCTCAAATTAAAGCCTATAAAATACTGATTATTTTGAGTTTAAAACATATTAAAAACATTAACAATACTGGAGCTATGATTTGTAATCATAGACAATCCTTATGGAAAATAATTTTTATGTTGGTTGGTCACCTTGCGTTTGCTTGAAACTCGTCCGATTTGAATAACTAATAGCTTAAAAGGAAGCCGGTATTTCACTGAAGGTTCTTAGACCAAAATATATAGGATTATATAATTATAACTGGTGAAAAACATCTTAAATTGAAGTAATATTAAATTCAAAAATGAATCAAATCATGCCGATGCATGATTGCAAATCTTTGAGTGCATGCCTTCAATTTGAGACCTCAATAATGAACATCGGTCGGGTAGAAGAGCCAAAAGAACTCGGAAAAGAAAAACCATTTTTTTAAATATATAGGCCTAAGATACTGAAATAGACATTCGATTTAAGTGAACCAAATATACCATTGAGATTGTGTACTGCAAGTATTTCATCTCATTTACGACGAACAAATGTAGCGTTGACTTTAGAAAAGTATTGGATTAATATGCTAGCTCTGCTCAATATTGCAAGCAGACAACTGCATTGTACACCTAGTACTTACTTACTGCCACGAATACTAGACAAATACATACTTTTCTCTTAATCGTTGACGAGTATAACTGGATAGATAGCGTCAATACTATTGCTAAAAGAAAACATATTATATTTACAGCAAAAATCTTGACAAATTAAATTCCTGGATCTTGATTGAAATTTGGTGGTAGGTCACTTTATATAATTCTAGATACCGGTACTCATAAGTGTGTAGAAGGGGTTGTTTTAAAGTCAAGTCCCAATTTTATTTTCGAACGTCCGTGGTTCAGTTCTTTGACGGCATGCGGGAGGCATAATTTTTATTCCAATTGGAGTTCCGGCATATAGGGCGAATGGAATCTTTTGATTGGCTGATCTAAAAGTGACGTCTTCTTGTGAATTTTTTCCCAATGATTTTGGGAAGCACTTTTTTATAAGTTTAGGTTAGAAGAATACTTGCAATAAAAGACTGTTTATTATTCGCAGGAATTTAACATTTTTACACTTTTACTCATCATACAAACTTTAGCAAAACCAAGGCCACGCTAAAAAACAGACCGTAATGCTCGTCAAGCATGACGTCACGATAGAAGACGGCAATGACGTAATGTTTGCCGTTTGTGATCAGCTGCTTGTTTTAATTTGGAAAATAAATAAATAAATACCTACGTCATTGCCGTCTTCTATCGTGACTTCTTTGGACTCGCCACCAGATGATTTAAACAAAAATCTACTTATTGATTTGGCTTGTTTTTTATCTTCCTCTTCCAAATTCGCTTACGCTTTGCTAGACGGTTTATTTTTTTCTGCCATTGTTTTCTTAGTATCGGCTCGTAATATGTTTTACTCATTCATTTAGTTTATACTTTCTTCTTATTTAATGCGCTAATTATAAATTAATCTTAAATTACTCGTAATCATTCACTTATCAACATCAACAATCATATCATCAAAACGATGCCAGTACGATACCGATACTGTATACTTATAACGTATACAACTTAAGAGTGCAATACAACGTAATGTTCTGCTCTAGGATCAGAGGCAGAAGGGAGGGAAGGGCGGGGGATGTTTCTTGTTGTGACAAGTGGCGCTGCGCGCTTGCTTATTTCGACTAGTGAGTGAGTCGTGAAATGAAAACCATAGGCGCCGCGCTGTACGCTGCCGACTCCGACTGCCGAGCGTCAGCTCACTACAGATCGAAACTGCAAATGGCATCGAGTCCTTGAGTTGTACAGTAGTGCTGTACAAATATACGCATTTTGCCATTTTTCAAGTGCTGTTGGTACAAACAGAATAAATGTCTTTACTGTGGTGCTTTGAATACTTGAACTCTGAGAAAAATAAGCAAAATTACGTTGTTTACGTTAAAAAAATTGTTCCGTTTGCGCCACGGCGCCACTTTTTCGTGGCGCCATATGCGGCCGCGTAGTTCGCGTATGGGTTAAACCGGCCCTGAATTTCCCATATAGGGAATAAGCTATTACCGTAGTACCATAGATAAAAGGAGTATAGATACTCCTTTTATCTATGGTAGTACTCATAGTAAGACCTGAACCCGGGACCGATTTTTTTTTCGTTTTGAAGTCCCCAGAGGCCAAAAACACCATTCGTTCAAATTCATATATACATATATATATATGTGTGTCCGTTAGCGCGATAACTCAAGCAAAAATAAGAATAACAATAAGAAAGTTTATTGCCATTGACCAAGTTGTACATAGGAATAGGCATTGTCAAATTACATTAAATAAAATATTACGAAACATGTTCAATATCTATAGGTAACAAAGATTGAGAATAACGGCTGAGAGTTCTTGATTTACAGTATGAATGATTCGGCTTTAATTTTATAATTCATGAAGTCCTTAACTGAGTAAAATGGGTTAGCTACGAGCCAGTTATGAATTTTCGACTTAAAAAGAGGAAGAGAAAGGCTGTCTGCCTGAAGAGGCTCAGGCAGCTTATTATAAAATTTCACACAATTAAGTTTGAAAGAATTACCTGTGATGGCCAGCCTGTGATGTGGTATATCCAGTTGTTCCTTGTTTCGTGTATGGTGGAAATGGTGGTAATTCTGCCTGGTGGAAAACTCATTGAGATTAGCTTTAGTGTATATAAGTACATTGTAGATGTATAAGTTAATGATTGTGCAAATGTTTAGTCTGACAAAAAGTGGCTTGCAGTGCTCCGCAGGGCCAGCCCCCGACATAGTGCGGATGACTTCTTTTTGTATTAGTAGAAGCTCATGAACATGGGGGAATGGCCCCAAAGTTGGATTCCATATTGAATGTGGGATTGAAACAGTCCAA